CTTCGAGCTGTACCTATAAGCTTACTTGCTGTGTACGACGTGTCGTATACAACCCCTTCCAACCGTAAGATTCGCCCGGCATCGGTGGGGAGTGTGGTGGAGGTCCGAAATGCGGCTGGCTCCAGGAGGACTTCCCTCTCTCCTTCAGGCCCTTCGTAGAGGAGTCGAGCCACCACCTCACAAGTCTGTCGTCGAACCCAGTGGCATCTGTCAACATGTCTAGAAGCTCTGGGTCTTTCATTTCCATCAGTCCAGTCTGACAATTGTGGATTGTGATCATATCAAGAGGAGGACCAGGAGGACTTAAACAATGGACTTTTCCGGATTACTTTGTCGTTTCTTCCCTGCCTTGCTGGGGTCAGCCTGCGGCGGTGCAGGGCGATAGGTGCACCAACCGATGCATCCTGCCGCCACCAAGAAGCCCAATGCCAAGGACGCCGCACCAAAGATCAGGCTCCATGCCCACACACCATCCCGCTCTGAGAAGACTTCGGCATAGGCACTTTCGCCTGCAGGGCTGAGATTTCTCCCACGGATACGTGTTTTTTTGCGAACACTTGTTGAAGGCAGGATGCAAGACATCCAAAAACCAGGAGGACCTTTCTTACGGTCGGACTATCAGGCTAGAGATTTGTCCGGACCGGGAGAACCCTTCCGGTAGGATGGACAAATCCATCAGCAAAAAGGCAAAAAGGCTTACCAGTCTCACCACCCAGTCGCCCATGAGCGTGAACATCATATTGCCCCCACGCGTTTCCGGCGAGGGCATCGGCTCATAGTAGTGCCTGAGGAAGGGGCGGGCTCGATCGCTGTAAAGCAAAACCACACTGACCGCATTTGGCCGGAAATGAGTAAAAACATGTAAAAACAGAGTTTTATGCCTCCCAAACGAGATACCCTGCTTCTCAAGTCTCTACGCCCCCTTAACCTTTCTGGATCACAACTTCATGTGGATCTTGAGGTCGCTGAAAAATTGTCATGTCGTGGCGTGCTCTCTGGACAAATCTATTCATCAATCATCATTTTATCTACTTCCTCCGGCGTTTTCTTTTCTTCAGCCTTTAAGCATCTCTCCGTCCCTCTATTCCAAGTCTTTCGTCTCTTCAAAGGAACTTCCAAAGTGCCCCCGAACGCTTCCACCGTCTTCCGCCTCCCGTCTCCCGCCGAAGGGACTGCTTCAAGGCGGGCGTCTTCGTCTCCGCCTTCGCCTCAGCGATGAGCTCCTGAAGGATGGCGCTCTGCTTCTGGCAGGCGCCCAAAAGCTGTCCGCTGCAGTCCTGGAGCAGTGGCATTCGAATGGGTGAATGAAGAATCGAAGAGTGGCACTGAGCGAGCGGCACTGAGCTCAGGCACGAACTGTCCTTGGAGCCTTGAATGATAGAATCATGTATCCATCCCAAAGATCGAGTAGTGACAAGCACTCAAAGGATCTCAGAGGCACAAGTTCGATTCCTAAATCATTCCATGGTGACCAACCCAGTCCCTATATGCAGGAACATGCCAGTCACGCCGCACCACACCGGACGGTCTCGTGGTGTTTCACGGGTGCCGTCCTGGAAGCAGGCTGGCTGCACCAGCACCTTGACGGCATGCTGGCTCTCGGAGGCCGCCAGGGGGCGGAACAGTTTCGCCTCCTTCCGGACCTGGGAGGGACGAGTGGCGCATGGTGAAGGGAGTTGCGTGGTCCGTACACCAAATGGGTTGAACGGAGAGAACGACTGACACATGCCTCACTGCACATGCCCCAGGGAATCAGTCTATGATCACTGGATTTGGACCCGTACACATCCGTACACGCCGTACATCCTCTACAAAACCCCAAGCTCATGCTAAGGGGGAAGTCTTCAGGGAGTTCAATCTGTCCAAGACACCACAAAAATTGCAATTTGGGTAGTATATGGGTAGTATATATATATAATACTGTATTACTAGACTTTAACGATTAAGGTATACCCTCCCTGGTAAAAGGAAGAATCCACCAAAACTAATGTGTCACGCGTCTCCTTTGGAACGCGAAAAAGCTACCCCTTATTGTGGACTTCGGACGGCCATGTGTTCGGCCATGCGTTCCAAAACCGTGGCGTTCCAGCCCAAGTGACCATGTGTTTGATCATCTCGAGACTCTTGCTGGGAACCTCGATCGGCGCATTGAGACCATACCACGAGAAGCTTTGAAAGCAGCTGGGCACCGCCGAGACGAGGTTCAAATGTGAAGAGCCCTCGCTGTTGGAGAGCAGCTCTGCGAAGAAGTCCAAGTCGACCTCCTCCCAGTTTGATCAAACATGATCAAATCCAAACACTTCAGGTGTGGTATAATACGGCATATATCAGAGCGGGATGGCTGGAGGTATCAGTGTAGCAGGCAGTAGGCATATATGTTCTAAACATGGAGTATCCAACAAGCCCTTGGAACATCTGCCAGGTGCAGGTGCTGGCAATAACTCTCATGTTTGAGTGAAGACTTGTGCCTTCGTCTTGCCTGCCCAAATAATTGGGAGCCTGGCCCATCGCTAGCAAAGTCAATCAATGAACACCTGCCCTCTCAAGAAAACAACCATGGAAGCCAATAGCAATGAAAGTTCCCATGATAAAGTTGCCTCCCTCTGCCTTCCAGCTGTGTCAGCAGCAAAGCTACCCTGGCACCCCTCGGTTGTGTGTTGGCTGTTGGTTCAACTCCCATGTTTGACATGCTTTGACCCCAAGCTGCCACCGGGTTGGTTCCACCTGGTTCCCTGGCAAGCCTCCTACCTAGTGCCACCAGAGGCGACGAAGCGAACTTCAAAGGTATCCCGCCAGCCTGGCTTACACACCTTCGCTGTGGTTCGGGTTCTGGTGGGCTATTTGTTTTTGCTACCACTCCCCCACACACCAATAGAAAATACGGACCATGTGAGTGGTCCAGGGCGGGCGAATCGCAGGTCACTGGCCTCCTTGGGTGCTTCCAGCTGACCCAGCCGGCGGCCCACCGACATGGAGTAGCAGCTGGCATCAGGTCCTGGCAGAAAAGGATTGCGGCTGGGAGATCCAATCCAAGAAGCACGGGTCGTGCAATATGCCTGATCCGTGATGAGTCATGTAGTTCATGCCCAGGCCGTTGGGGGCATGTCGCCATGTCACAAAATGTTTGTGCAGTTCGATAAACTCCGAATCTCTAACAAGTGGATAACCTCCTGTTTGTAAAGGAAAGTAGTCTTCCAAGGGGTCATGTTCCACTTCGTTAGGGAGTCAGAGAGTACCTCTCGTGTTTTTGGTGTCTCTGTTGCTCGTGCTTGGCATGACTCGCATCCGACTGATCAGCATCCGCGGCAGGGAATCGGATCGGCCTGCAGAAGGATCGGCTTTCTTCACTGGCCAGGCGCCATAGGTCACACAGGAGGCACCCTTGGCATCCCAGCCTTAGGAAAACTGGGCGGCAACAAAAAACGGTCCGCGGGACATCCGCGTGGTTCACTTGCGACTTGACCTGCATTTTCAGTTTTTGGCTATAGACCTTCAAAAACTCCCAATTTAATGTACCAGCACCTTTCCAAGGTGTTTCCAATGGACTACCCTACACTATTTGTGGATCTCCATTGAACACCTCTTGTTCCGGGTCTAAGATACATGTTAAACATCATGAATTCCACATTAAAACGTGATCTTGAAAAAAAGGCGGGCAGCTGAAACCCGTGCAGGTATCAAAAGATTCGTCTGCTGCATTCTTTTCGATCTTGCCTTTGCATGCGAGGCGACATTCCTCGGCGGAGGTTGCTCCCTTCTCTGGGGAAGACACGACCCCCTCGCCGGTGCAAACGCCCTTGCCCACGAGACCCTCCATGGTCTCCACCTTGGCCTGCGCAGTGTGTCCCTCCAAAGATTGGATCGCTGAAAGGCAACTGCTAGAATCCACCTGGCACATCCAATCTTTCAGCTTCTCTCCCACGGCTGTAGAGGAAGTACTGCTAATGAGATCCACCGCTACCACGGCCACGGGCTCCTTGTCACAGGCCTCGAAATAGAGCCGTAGCTGTGGCCTTGGGATGCCTGCAGCAATCGCCACATGTGAAAGCTTCTGAGAACATCCTGTCCCAACTTGAAAGCTGGGGCCATGAAGGACCACGCTTGGTGCTGTAGTGACGCTGGCAGCTTTGGCAGGTTCTTGGTCTCCAAAATCACCCGTCAGCGCTGGGATCTTCACTGACTCCACGGACTCCACCGACATCTGCGGCATCTTCGGCACCGTGGGAGTTGCCGGGGCGGCCGGCGCCTTCGGGGCCGCAGGGGCCGCCGGAGCGGCTGGGGCTGGAGCTGCTGGGGCCGCCGGAGGGGCTGGGGCCGCCGGAGGGGCTGGGGCCGCCGGGGTGGCTGGGGCCGCCGGGGTGGCTGGGGCCGTTGGCGCCACTTCAGCTGCAGCTGGGGCGGCGGTGGTCGGCATCGCCAATGGCAAGGGCTCGATGAGCATGCTGCCGGCCAAACGCCGCGCCGCCTTCGGGGCGGCCTTCCACTCGGTGCCCTCAATCCCGGCGAAGGCGAAGGCGGACGAGAGCATATTCCCAGCTCCACAAAGGTTGGAAGTGACTAAAGGAACGATGGGCACCCGGTTGTTGGCACCAATCACTTGCTCAGGGCCTGCATTTGGAAAAGTGTCCCAAACATAGCCTGGAGATGCATGTGGAGAAACGTGACATTGCTGGCCATTTACCAGCGCGAAGGCTGCGAATGCGGTGGCCTTCCACATCTTCTCCGCGCACCCGGAAGCTCTTGAGCTAAATTGCATTGAAGGGAACTAAACTCGGGTTGGAATGCAACACTACAGTAATCAACACTGCAGCATCCCCAGGTTGGGTACATAAAGATGCGCAAAAAAGCAAAGCTACCTGATGTATGTTGAAAGGACCTATTAGTATTGACTGAGGAACACACACACACACACACCCAGCAAGCCGCTCGCCTTCTTTTTCCTCCTGCCCACCGAAAAGCCCACCACTGTCTTCGGCTTGGTCAAGCTCTCAGGCACTCTCTCAAAGCTTGCTGGCCAGTTGCTCATCCTGCGAACGGGTGGCATGTGCAGGGCATTGGAGTTTGGTGGCATGCGAACGGCATCCATCGGCATCCTGTCACAATCTGCCACATCAACTCGAGATCCTCGGAGTCTGTGGGTCATGAGTCTACAAACAGCGCCTTGATCCCCGTCTTAGGCGGCCCTTAGTTGGCTCTGTCCAGGGTGTCGTGTCAAATGGTCTAGAGATGTTGACTGAGTCTACCCCGCTGAAAAGCAACATGGACTCTCAACAACCACTGGATGGTAAAGTAAAACTTCAGTCGTTCAGGGTGCCATCCATTCTGAGGGTCGCGTCCATGTTAAATAGTTTTCTGGAGTCCAAAGCTCTGTGAGGACCACTTTTTGGGGCACGATCGGCAGAGCGACGATATGGAACGTGGGTGCCACTGATTCGTCAGTAGATCTCTGCAAAAGAGGTTGTGCGCCAAAATGGATGGATCGATGAGCGTGCATCTTCCAATTTCCCTAACTACGCCCCAACAATCGAGTCAGGGTTCAAAGCTGAAGTCAGGCTTCAAATGGCTTTAAAGGCAAACTGAAGCATCAGAAGCTTTTACTTCATGAGCCTCACATGGGTGTGGTCTGGGGCTGCCTGGGTCCCAGACCTGGATCACCTGGCAAAAATGGACTGCATCGTGGTTTACAGTTCACCACCTTTGTACATTTCTGGGCGAAGTATGGTGCTGTACCAAGTGGCAAAATTGCCACTCATCATCACTCATCTCTCGCAACTCTACTGGGACAAAAATGACGTTCAGGCTTCTTCGGGAGGATAGAAGCCGCCCATGAGCTGCACAGCTTTCGAGTGAAAGCCCTCTCGCACCACAGTGCCCCCCATGATCACACGGTTGGGGCTACTCTTCCCACCAGCGCGGCCGTGCAGAACACGCCAATTGTCCAGGATCAGCATTGAGCCCTGTGAAATCGGCACCTCCACTTCAAACTCCGGCGCATGAATCAGCTCGTTCCAAAGCAAATAGGCCTCCAAGGAAAGAGGAGCTGGGTGCGTACTAAGGAGGATCGCATGCGAACGTGCGAGATGAGAGGGAATTGCTCGGAAAAGGGGGCGATGTGATGTAGGGCTTGCACGGCGTATCCACCGGACTAACATCAATTAATTAACTGAAACTTACCGTATACTACGTATACTAAATAAACTTTGAATTAATTTACAGTAGGTACGTATGTTTTAGACATGTTTAGACAGATTCACATTGATTGGCGCCTGGTACCATGCTTCGAACTTCTCATAAGGCACGGTGCTTGGAGTTCTGAAGACCTCATTGAATTGCACACGGATCAAATTCCCTTGCTCGTCCGTTTGGATGATGGGGCTTCTGGTCGCCAAAAGCATTGATTGTGTGCCAGTCTGAGAGGAATCCACCCGAGACTTGACAAAGTCTCGCTCTTGACAGTTTCCATAGCTGGCCAACATCTGGAAAGCTTGGGGATGTCTTTCCCTCAATGCTTCAGCAACTGCATATCCATCCACAAGCGTGTTGGCTCCACTTCCTTCCACGTAATTGATCACCAAGAGCAATGCAGGAATGCCATGGGCCGGCACTGATTGGTCCGTGTGGTTGTTCAAACGCGTATCCTGAGCATAGCTGACACTCACAGCACCTGCCTTCTGTTTGATCACCCAGTTTGGCTCATCTCGTGCTGGGTCCTTCTGCATGCCACCGAGGCAATTGTTGGCAAAGTCCAGCAAGACACTTGAGTCCTCTGAGGGTGGAACATTGTCCAAAATGATGGCTCCGTGCTGCATCACAGCCTGCATCATCTCCAAGTTGCCGGAGTCTGAATGTCTCACCGCATGGTAGTCCCGGTGCTCAAAGGGATCCAGCACTCCAACCTGGTTTTTCCACAACTTCTTCATGCTCAAGTCCGGTGCTGGTGCCCCTGCGAATCCGGAGTAGCCGCGCAGCCAGCGGAAGTCCTCGTGCCGGGGATGATGACGTTGACCCTCCAGCACCTTCCCAGCGATGGGCGCATACATCCGCAAGAAGCCGCTCGAAAAGTGACTGGACGCCTCCCCCAGTTGCGGATCGCCTGGAGGAGAGTGACCGGTCGACCCGGAGTTTCTAACATACCCGGCAGCTTCAGTGCTTTGGAAGATCTAGCTTCGGGGGGGGTACCATGGCAACGTCACATGATTTTTCCATATTCTTCTTCTGCCTCCCTCTCACACACACAAGACCTCCCGGCGCGCGCGTATCTCGAGTTCCCCTCACATCTCTCGAACTTCGATCGGGATCGTCCCGGCAAGCCGGGGGGAGCGTCAGGTCCCCCACCTCTCCAGGTGACTTCCAAACCATCGTCGCAGATCTTGGCCTCTTTCACCTCACCAGGGCTGTGGCGCCCTTCGGGCGAAAAGGCGATCTTGTCCAAGTACCGCTCACCTGACGTGGCGCACCGTGAAGGCGGTCGCTCGGAGGGTGGAAGAAGGATGGACATCTATGGGGTGATGTGGGTGGTGACTGAGGCTTTAGAAAGTCAGGAGCTGAGGCTTTCGGACAGAACTATGAACATATTATGTTCTTTTATTTGTTTAATCAATATATATATATATATCATACTCCTGGTGTCAATTGAGTGGTCCTCTTTGGATCGTGGGAATAGACTCGCCGGAAACAGGGTCAAATGACAAGACCTAGTCATGCTGCCAAGTCACCTGCCTGTTGAGAGACCACCAGGGCATCTCTGCAGGCATCACGAAGCCATAAACCATGTAGCTCGAAGGCAGAACCATCTGAGAACCCCACCTCACGGCTATACTTCCAACAAAGAAAACACATTGTCCAACAATAAACCATATGCTAAACATGTTCCTCTTTTTGGACCCGCCATGAGAACAACAAAAGCTCCGTCCGAACGACTCCCACCATCTCGTCCAACGAAAGCGGGCCAATCTGTAGCTGCGACCAATCGGTCGGCATAAAAAAACGGTGAACGAAGCATTGGATTTCACATTTGTTTAAGTCTCTACATTACATCATTGTCTGATGATGTTCTATACTATATATATACTGTATTGTTATAAGGTTTTGTGCAACATACTTGTATTCTGCAGAATGGCCACCGGATTTGCTGCTCAGGCCCAGTCCCGAAAAGGGTCGAACAAGTGACACACACACACAACTTCATGTTTTTAGCGGGGTGGCAGCTGGAGCCACAAACATACTCACAAAATCTCACAAACATGTATACTGTATACTAGGTACAGAACCCGGCCCCATTCTCCAACATGGTGAATCGGGTAAAGCGCTGACTGTGCAGCTTGCGAGGCACTTGGATTTGCTTGCCCATGTTCATCAAGGATGCTGCCACACACTTCGCCCCCTCAAATGGCGCGACGGCAGCATGCACAGCCGCAATGGTGGACTTGGGCTTGCCCAAGAGAAGTGGTCTCACCTTGGAGAACATCGTTCTTTGTTCAGCAAAGGCGTGCGTTGTTGGCCCGGCTGAGCTTTTGAGCCTCAAATGCTTTCGGCAAACGTAACGCATCGTCCTTTTGCACCAATCTACTGTTCCTGCGTCAAGCTGCGTGAGACAAAATGTCACAACCTTCGAGCAATATGAGATGATCTATTCATCCTGTGAGTTTTTGGGCTTTGCTGCACCTGTTCCTCAGTTCTCACCCAAGCGATCTACGACCATTCAGACTCATTCACAACACCAAGTTTCATGAAATTGGAGATGTGCACTTCTCAAACCTTAAGCAGTCCACTCAATGTAAACCCTTCAGCATCAACGCGGTCACCGAACGCAGTCCCATCCCGCCTGGCGAAGGAGACTCAGAAACATGCAGCCTCGAAGTACCAAAGCCTTTGGACCTCCTGGCGACGAGACCATCCAAGCGACATCATGGACCCCTCCAGAACGTCTAAGGCCAAACCGTGAACCCCTCCCAAAGAAAGTGTCTACTTAAGACCTACTTGGACGAGAAGGCCAACATGGTGGTTTGGAACATTTTTTGGGGTTCACTCTCTGTCTGTGATCATGATGGGCGTACATGGGTAATAATAATGCATGTTTAAGACTTTGATTGGGCTCACCGCTTGAAATGAGTCCCACGGCCCACGGGCAACAAATTGCCCATTCCACGCTGAGTCTACAAATACCGTCAAAGGCACCACTGGTCTAGTTTTGTCACGTCTGAACGAAGACGTCAGCGCAACGGCAACTGTATCATTGGGCAGCAGCAGGATGAGGATTCAAGATACGGAGTCTTGAAACAATGAGTTCCTTGAAGAAGTCCTGCACCATCAAAGCACATCTTGCGAACAACAAGCATGAAGTCAAGTAGTGGTAATATCCCAGGGCTTTAGCAGCTGCAACCGTAAATCCTGTGGATGGGCCATCTTCTCCAACAACCGCCTCAAGCTGAACATGAACGAACATTACTCTATTCAGGCTCATCCCGCCGGTCGCCGCATAGGTCCTTGAGAACCACAACCCTACAGGTCCAAAGACTCAATGAAACCTGGTCCTGAGACCGCTAGCCGAATGAGGTCCAACTGACCTGTAGGGTGCTTGGGGTGCTTGATGTGCTTGTCAACAGTGCTGGCCCACTCTTCGCTGTTAATGTTGCCAACCCAAAATCGAGAACCACACATTAAACTCTTACTATAGCCATAGCCCCTTGGCCTACGCAACCCCTGGGAAGTGCTTTCACCCTCCCCAACGTCCTTGGCAATTTGGCAACCCAAAGAGTTGGAGAAAACAAAAACTCCCAGATCTTCAGTCACCAGGGTCGCCCCACATCCCACATCCCACCCGCACTGGTCGCCCCGGTCTCGGTGTCCGAGCCCTCATCTCTCCCACCCTGCACTTCGAAGGCTGCTACGATGGTGCCCTCCTTCAAAGGCAGGGCGGCTTTGAATAGGTTGATTGGTTCACAGCCTGGCTGGTTTCACCTTCATGTACAGATCGCTAGTACGGTCAAGCTTTCCTATAGACATGTTGGGAGGTCATTCACCATGATTCACTTAGAAGGGGATCGACAATCCAAATCTCAGGGAAGGCGCACCCCAATGTGCCCTCATTCGGAGCTTTGACATGTCGGCAAATGTCGGTGAACACTTCATCCCGAAAATGCGACCCGCGGCGATTGGCACTCCACGGCTGAAAGGGGACGGCGAATCCTCCAATTTTTGAATCTTGTTGAATAACTTTGAATACATGGGTGATCATGGGTGTGTCAATGTTGGATCGCGGGAGAACCAAACATATGCTGCGGAAGACGAGCAACAACGTTCTAGAACCCACTGGGTTGGTGTGGTCCTTTAAATGCCACACACATGTTGGCAAAAAGAACCAGTGATTGACTCTCCTGCAAATAACGGTGCTTTGTATAAGCAACGCTGGTGAAAGCCAACGACTCACAATGGTAGACCAAGCTGGAAGCATCCAAAAAGAAACACATACACTGGGGTGCCAAAAGTTGCGCTTCTTGACTTCTAAAACATCACAAACCCTTTCCCCTTAGAATCCTACGTGCAACATGTCGACACCTCAGTTGCGGTCAGATTTCCACACCTGAAAGCCTTATAAACCTTATAAATTTAAACGGTTGTGGAAATCTGACCGTGCTGTACCTGCCACGCAAAATGGACGTGTTAATCCGATCCGCTGTAGACCGCAAGTGTCATGTTGGAACAGAGTAAGAAGCGTAAACTTTAGGGTTCTTGAAGGGTGCTGTTTGTGTTTTTAAGAAGGTGCTGGAAATAACATAAGTTCCATAATTGTAATATCAACTCGCTTGAAACATATTATATAACTTGGATTATAAGTCTATTTGTTCAACTTTATAACAGGACAACGTTAATGTCGAGCCTGACAACATTGCTCACGATTAGTTGTAAACACAAGGCTAATACCTAGTAATAACGCAGGGCGCTGTTTGTGGTTTTAAGAAGGTGCTGGAAACAACATAAGTTCCATAATTTTGATATCAACTCGCTTGAAACATATTATATAATATTGATTATATGTTTATTTGTTCTTAACTTTGTAACAGGACAACGTTAATGCCGAACCTGACAACATTTCTCATGATTAGTTGTAAACACAAGGCTAATACCTAGTAATAACGCACTGGGGTGCCAAAAGTTGCGCTTCTTGACTTCTAAAACATCACAAACCCTTTCCCCTTAGAATCCTACGTGCAACATGTCGACACCTCAGTTGCGGTCAGATTTCCACACCTGAAAGCCTTATAAATATTA